GAGTAGGATCACTTCTGTCTTCTCCGGGTTAAGCAGTAGGAAGTTAAGAGTCATCCACGTTTTAAGGTCCTTTATGGAGGCACTAAGCTTTTCTAGCTGATCTGTCTGTCATCTGCAGCAGTGGAAATTAATTCCATGCTTTTTAATAATGTTTCCTTACGGCAGCATGTAGAGAGTGAAAAGAATCGGTCCGAGTACCGAACCCTGCGGCACACCGAATTCCACTCCAGAATAAGGCGACGAGTTCTGATTTACGTTGACGAAGTGATACCGATCTGATAAATAGGATTTAAACCAGCCAAGGGCTGTTCCTCTAAGACCTATATCACATTCTAGCCTCTGCAGTAGAATGCTGTGGTCTATTGTGTCAAATGTAGCACTAAGGTCCAGTAGGACCAGCACTGACACTTGTCCATTATCAGCAGCTAGTAGTAAGTCATTTGTGACTTTGACTAGTGCCGTTTCAGTGCTATGATTAGCTCTGAATCCTGATTGAAAGACTGTTCAAACATATTATTTTCATGCAGGTGGCAGCAAAGCTGCTCAGCTATAAGTCTTTCCAGGATTTTAGATATGAAAGTGAGGTTCGAGATCGGTCTGTAGTTTGTAAGTATTTCTGGGTCCAGGTTTGTTTTCTTCAGAAGGGGTTTGATTACCGCGGTTTTAAAAGCTTGTGGGACATAGCCACATTGTATGGATGCGTTTATTATATTTACGATAGGCTCAATTATCAAAGGAAGTATGTCTTTGATGAGCCAAGTCGGGATTGCGTCTAACATGCAAGTTGAGGCTTTTGAGGATGTGACCACAGAGATCACCTCTGCTTGGCTCACAGCCATGAATTTATCGAGGCCGCTTCAGCCTGTCCACTACCAACAGCCGGAGTAACCTCCTCCAGTTTGTCACGGATGGATGTAATTTTATTATTAAAGAAGTTGAGAAAGTCGACACTGCTCAGTGAGCTTGGAATTTTAGGCTCGATTGCGCTATGGCAGTTTGTGAGTTTAGCAAGGGTGCTAAACAAAAATCTACTGTTATTTTTATTCGCTTCTATTAAAGTTGAATAGTATTGAGTTCGAGCCCTGCGAAGGGCATTCTTGTAGTTTCGGAGACCTGCTTTCCACTCCCTGTGGATAGGCTCCGAGTGGGAGTGGCGATATAGCCTCTCCAATTTTCTGACGTCCTGTTTTAAAGTGTGGAGTTGAACACTGTACCAGGGCGACGATGATCTAATCCTAATAGTTTTCTGTTTTAAAGGAGCTGCTGCATTTAATGCAGATTTTAAAGACTCCATAGTGTTGTCCACCGTTTGGTCAATGACTGAGGGACTGCAGCTGCTGTGAACAGGTTCACCTGCAGCAGTATTCAACATAGGCTGTATTAGTTCTTTGAACCTTGTGATAGATTTATCATTTAAGGTTCTTTTCATTATGGTTTTATCTTGCGGGACAGGAAAGTCCTCCAAATCGAGATCAAAGTGATCAAGAAATGGTCAGACAGCAACGAGCTTTGACGCTGGATGTCAACATTGGAGACATCACAGCCGTAGGTCAGGACAAGGTCCAAGGTGTGGTTATGAATGTGAGTAGGTTCCTCGACATTCTGAGTAAAACCAACACCATCTAGTACGCCGCTGAAAGCTTTGTTTAAGCTGTCAGTGCTGTCGTCCACATGTATATTGAAGTCTCCAGTTATAACTATGTTTTCCCATTCCAAAACTAGGTTTGAAATGAAGTCAGAGAATTCTGTTAGGAACTCGCTGTAAGGACCAGGAGGTCGGTATAAAACTATAAATAGCACCGCTTTTTGTTTTCTCCACCCAGGACAGGTGATTGAAAGTGTTGTTTTCAAACGAGTGAAAAGCATTGTTGGTTTTGGGACTAAGAAGTAGGGATGTACCGATACAGATTTTTTACATTCCGATCCGATTCCGATATTCTAAAATATTGTTTGCCGATACCGATCCGATACCGATCCAATCCAATATTTTCAGAGCATTAAAAAATTTGCAACCAGTATTACTTGATATAAATGTTTTTATTATTGCATGACCAAAAATATTGCTTGTTTTTTTCTTCTGAGTTTGGTCATAAGAATCAAATCAGTATTAAATATTACACCCAATGTTCCTTCTAAGCTGCGCGCGTGCGCAATCGCGCACTGCTTGCACAGTCTCAGCGCACAAGAAAACTTGTGCTGCGCACAAAAATAAAATTCAAAATAAACGTGTTAATTAATATCAAATATTAGACCTAATTTAATCTATTTAATTAGACCAATAATACTGTTATAATACTGTTCATTTTGCAACATAACTCAGTGAGTGACAGGTGTTGAGCCAATAATACGATGCGGTTCACTCACCTACGTGGCCAATCATAGCATTGATTTGCCCTGCCCGTATGCGCCCATTGATGTACGCGCAGGTTAGCTAGCTAATGGCACGGCAATACTGAGGAGAGAGACGCAAATACGAAACCCTCATGATGGCGAAACGAACGGGCAGCGACACACCCACTCACCAAGCCAAAGTAAAAAAGAAATGCGGTTCTTTTAAGGTGGAATGGCTGTCGGAGAATGTGAAAATAGAAGAAGAAGTGGTGAAACTGGGTGAGATTTTTAATTTTTCGAGTGAGAAAGGACTACTCTGTAAAACATGCAGCGAAGCCAAAGTAGCGAGTGAATTTTCGGAGGGAAAAATGTGGACTGAATGGAAGTTGGACTACCTCAAGCGGCACATTCAGCACAAAAGTCATTTGAAAGCTGTTGGAATTGTACAAAGACTCAAGATGGGACAGGGGATTGGTACGTTATTGCTGGAGAGCGCAAAAGACAGAGAGAAAAGGAACGTGCTGTCACTCAAAATAAAATCTCACCCCGAACAAGTTAAAGTTCTGATTGATAACATTTTACTTGCCATCAAAATGAATGCTTCAATGCTGTCAGTTCAACAAATCCACGATCACATGGCAAAGTATGTGAGTATACCAGAAAACTGGCGAAGCAAAAACTATGCCTTTGAATTTGTGAACTCTATCAATGAGATCGTGCAAAATGAGACTATGTGCAGTGTTAAAAATTCTCCTTGGCATACCCTGATAGTAGATGAGAGCACAGATATATCAGTACACAAAATGCTTGTCCTATATATTAAGTATAGGGAGGTAAATTATGTTAACTATAAAACTGTGTTTGGTGGCATCACCCAGCTGACAGCATGCACTGCCCAGGATATTGTGCAAGCAATAACTCAGTTTTACTTCAACCATGGACTGGACATTCAGAGAATGGTGATGCTGACCTCTGATGGTGCCTCAGTAATGCTAGGAAAACACAACGGAGTCGCCGCTTTGTTAAAGCGCCAAATTCCACACCTAACTGAACAACATTGTGTGGCCCATAGAGAGGACTTGGGTATTGATGATGCCTGGAAAGATGTACCTTTGATGCGAGATGTGGAAACTCTTCTTAGAACTGTGTATTCTACTTTCTCTCGGTCCACTGTGAAGAGGAGCAAAATGGAGGACCTAGCCAATCTTCTTGATGAAGATACACTGTCATTCAGACCTCTGAACGAAGTGCGATGGCTGTCGCGGCACCAAGCTGTCAATGCTGTTCTGAGGAACTACACTGTGCTTCAAGAATTCTACAAAAGAGAATTAACTGAAAACAGAGATCCAGTGGCAAAGTACTGCTACAAAAAGCTGAGTGATTCAAAGTTCAATGTTACTGTCACTGCTCTGGGAGATGTTTTGGGTGAGCTAGCACAACTCTGCCTCACTTTACAAAGACGCAACCTGACTGTGATGGAAGGACACTGCTTTGCTAGAGCAAAGATTGAGAAGTTGCGTTCCCAGTACTTGAGGGAGAAGGATGTACAGTGGAGTGACCGTGTCAAAGAGGCAATGGCGACCTCAACAGCTTATGACAGAAATACTGGTGAGATTACTCTTTTCATTAGTAAGCTCTGTGATCACATGGATGCTCGTTTTCCAGAGGGTGAATTAAAGGAGTGGTCTGCATTCGACATTGAAGCATTGAGCTCAGACATCAGTTTTGACTATGGATCAGCAGACATTGCCACATCGGCGAAGAAGTATGAGGCCATTCTCCCCCACCCACAGTCCATGGAGGCCATTAACAGTCAATATGCTGAATTCAAGTACATAATGAAACAAAAACTTAAACAGGGGACAATCAGCACATTCTCAGATATGGTTGCTGCAGCACTTAGATGTGAGGAGCTAAAGGAGATCTCACAGCTTGTGGATATTTGTGCCACATTTCAAGCTTCCAGTGCAGATTGTGAAAGAGGATTTAGCTTAATGAATCGTATTAAAACAGCATCCAGAAATCGTCTTGAAGTGGCACATTTGGACCAGCTGATGCGCATAAAGTCAAAGCAACAAGCAGACGAAGACATCAACTTGGACAAAGTGCACAACCATTGGAGAAGTGAGAAGGACAGACGTGAAAAATAAGGTAAAATTTGAGTCAGATTTGTGCATATTCTAGTCTCTATTTAATCAGATTTCTTATTTATGGATATTTAATCATTAAAGGCTGTTACTTCTAGATAATGTATGGGTAGTAAAATGCTAATAAATAATTGAGTAATAAGATTTTTTACAGACAAAGAGTTACAGGAATTTACACTGTATCACAAGCTACAGCACACATCATTGTGCAAAATGTGAATGTTTTAATGTGAACAAAATGTTTTGTCTTAAGGGTATATATACCCCCACTGAAAGATCAAGGCTATGCTCACACTCAGAGAGCAGCCGTCCTCCTGTGGACTCACCACCTGCAGAGGGTCAGTGAGGGGCTGGTGCTATGAGACTTGGGTGGCATCTCTGACTGCCACCCCCCTGACCCAGAAATGGATTAAAGGGCAGAAAATGGATGGATGGATGGTATATATGTATAATTTCTTCCAGAACATGACCCTCAGCCAGGCCACAACTGGACCTCAGCCAGGCCAAAGCAGGACTCTTCCCATGGCCACAGCAGGACTCTTCCCATGGCCAAAGCAGGACTCTTCCCATGCCAAAGCAGGACTCTTCCCATGGCCAAAGCAGGACTCTTCCCATGGCCAAAGCAGGACTCTTCCCATGGCCAAAGCAGGTCTCTTCCCATGGCCACAGCAGGACTCTTCCCATGGCCAAAGCAGGACTCTTCCCATGGCCAAAGCAGGTCTCTTCCCATGCCAAAGCAGGACTCTTCCCATGGCCAAAGCAGGACTCTTCCCATGGCCACAGCAGGACTCTTCCCATGGCCAAAGCAGGACTCTTCCCATGCCAAAGCAGGTCTCTTCCCATGCCAAAGCAGGACTCTTCCCATGGCCAAAGCAGGACTCTTCCCAGGCCAAAGCAGGACTCTTCCCATGCCAAAGCAGGACTCTTCCCATGGCCAAAGCAGGACTCTTCCCAGGCCAAAGCAGGACTCTTCCCATGGCCACAGCAGGACTCTTCCCATGGCCAAAGCAGGACTCTTCCCATGGCCACAGCAGGACTCTTCCCATGGCCAAAGCAGGACTCTTCCCATGCCAAAGCAGGACTCTTCCCATGGCCGAAGCAGGACTCTTCCCAGGCCAAAGCAGGACTCTTCCCATGGCCAATGCAGGACTCTTCCCATGCCAAAGCAGGACTCTTCCCATGGCCAAAGCAGGACTCTTCCCAGGCCAAAGCAGGACTCTTCCCATGGCCACAGCAGGACTCTTCCCAGGCCAAAGCAGGACTCTTCCCATGCCAAAGCAGGACTCTTCCCATGCCAAAGCAGGGACTCTTCCCATGGCCACAGCAGGACTCTTCCCAGGCCAAAGCAGGACTCTTCCCATGGCCACAGCAGGACTCTTCCCATGCCAAAGCAGGACTCTTCCCATGGCCACAGCAGGACTCTTCCCATGGCCACAGCAGGACTCTTCCCATGGCCACAGCAGGACTCTTCCCTTGACCACAGCAGGACTCTTCCCTTGACCACAGCAGGACTCTTCCCTTGACCACAGCAGGACTCTCACATACTACACATCTCTTGAACAACAAGATTTTTGTCTTTTTCATTTAATGTGGGCCTAATTACTTATATTAAAAGTAAACTAGTGCAAATTGCTGCTGTAATTTTATTCTTTTAATAAGCCATGTAATTAGCTATGATCCAAGGTTTTGAACAGGTGTGATACTGGTGTTTGGTCAGAGCGTGCACATCTGATGTTGCTCACAGTTGTCCTCAGTGTGCTCAGGGAGCTTGGGTGTTTGCCCAGACAAATGAAAAATTAGAGGGAACATTGATTACACCTTTATCATAACATTAAAATAAATATCAAAGAGGAACAATTATCAAAAAGCTGCCCTCAACATTCAGTATAACAAAAAGAAAATAGCTGGTACATAACTGAATGACCACAAAAAGCCAGTACTTAACCAGTGTGTGTCATGGTGTGGGTTTTATTTTTTTATTTGTGTTTTATTTTGACATTGTTCTCTGTGGTTTGGTTTTAGTTGTACTTCCTGTCCTGTTTGCCCCTGTCTTGATTGTCTGCCCCGCCCTGATGTGTTTCACCTGTGTCTGTGTCTATATGTACCCTGTGCTCCTCTCCCCATGTTGCTGGTCCATTGTCTTGTTCATGTCCTTGTCCGTTCTGTTTTGTTCCGTTCCTGGTTCCCTGTGGTTTTGGATAGTGATGGCAATATGAAGCCCCATGAAGCCTTGAGGGATCGCAGCCTATTACTCGGCCCATGAGTCGAAGGCTCGAGGTGAATCATGCTCCACTACGCCATCATGTGGACAAAGAAATGTAATACATGCTAAGGGCCTATAACAAATGGTAGGGTCTGAACATGGGCTGAAAGAATACAGCCAATGATGTGGAGACAGTTGTTATGTAAAATGTGCTTGTGTTACTTTGTTTATGTAAGTGCTTATGCAACTATTGACAGGAGTTGAAAAACAAACAATACAGTTATTCATTTTTGATGATGGGGGCCGACTGCGCTTCCTGGTTCACTGCATTAGGCCAACAGAGACCGACTATCGCAGAGAACAAGGCTAGACTGAGCTCTGTCAGGGAGACACGACCCTAGAACCTGCTCTGGTGTTCTGGATCCACTACATTGCAGGCAGTGTCTCTCTCTGGACTAACTCGTTTTAATGGATTTTTTACTGCTTTTAAGTCTTTTTAAAGTTACAGTTTAATGTATTTTTTATTGAAACTTCTTCACAAGCTCTTGAGAATTGTGAATTGGAGCCCAGAGCAAACTGAGACAATGAAGATGTGTTGCTGAAAACGTGCTAGCTCGGAGGCTACCACGAGGGCACCACGTCATGAGCTTTTATTAAACCTACACAGACATGGAACGCGACACTGCAATAACCACAAACCCTATAAACGACATTAGTCGCCTCACATTGGAGTTTCGTGAGAGGGACCGTGCCACTATTGCAGACCTCCGTAAAGAAGTCCTTCGCCTCACTGCAGAACTGCAGGATAAACAGTCACTCGTGTCCAAACTCTTTGATGTCGCTGGCGGGCAGCACTCACGGCTTATGTCACTGAGCGCTGCATACTGTGACACTGTCGTGTGGGAGAGGTCTGTCAGCTCTGGACCCTCCTGTTCTACACCTAAGCGCCCGGTTCCGAATGAGGAACCCGCGAACTGCGAGGAGCCATCCAGCGCCGTGGCCCATGTCCTAAGCCTGTCAAACTGCTATGCAGCCCTCTCCACTGACATCCCAGCCCCCTCAGCAGAACCTCTGGACTCTGCAGCGTACTCTGCCGTTCGTGGATCTAAGTCCACTGCGAGAAAAACGCTCCTAAAGGAAGCCGTCCTCAGACGAAAGAGTGGTCATTCCCCTTCTCTGACCCCAGTGCATCACCACCACTTACCTCCACCGGGTCAGCAGCAGCGACCCGAGCCTGCTCCTCTCGCTGCTCCAGCGTCCCCGAGCACACAGCGTGGGTTGCCCGGAGCTGAGAATCAACACCCCCGCTCCCCTCCATGTGTTCAGCAGCGCCCTGGTTCGGACTCATCCCTGGATGAGCCCGCTGGTTCTGGCCATGGACACCGAGCGCCCTCTCCGCGGCTACGTCCACTCTTCGCCCCGACTACTTGGAGATTCCATCGTGAGACACGTCCGCTTTTTTAACGCGGTCACTCAGTGTTTTCCCGGAGCCACTGTACCAGACCTGCTCATCCGTCTCCCTCCTCTGCTTCAGTCCCTGCCTGATACCATTTCAAAGGTAATCGTGCATGTGGGGATCAACGACATGAAGCTGCAGCAGTCAGAGGTCACAAAGAAGCATTTTATGGATCTATTCCGCCTTCTCCAGTCCTCCGGGTTGTGTGTTTTTATCTCTGGTCCAGTCCCGACTGTAAACCGGGGAGACTGCTTGTACAGTCGCGTAGTGGCGCTCAACATGTGGCTCCAGTCTGCATGTAGCTCGTTTAACTTTATTTTTGTGAATAACTTTGGCCTTTTCTGGAAGCGTCACGTGGCTTATCGTCCAGACGGTCTGCACCCAAATAGATATGGCACCAGCTTGTTGACGGATTACTTACGCCACGTTATTCAGTGTTCCCCGAGGGGGGCGTGACTGTTTACATCGGAGCCCCCCACCACCACCACCCTCCTCCTTCTTCTCCTGCTCACCAGCACCGGGTGAGTACTGTGGTGCAAACACTGACCCCTTTCCGTCTGGCAGTGAAATAACAGTCTCGCCTCTGAACCGTGCTGCCTCCTGCTCTAAACAACGAAGCAATGCCGTCCTGAATCCGGGACTTACACAGCAAAAGAGTTCACATGTTAGACAAATAGAAACTGTGTGTGTTCCTCGCATCAGTTTCAAAAAATGTTTTTATTTGAATGGAAAACAAAATCATAACAGAAGGACAGCAGTTAGACATTCAAATCTAATTCCTGCTCCTTGTAAAAATCAATTAACTAAACCCACTGTTACTGATATTAATTTTAAAATTGCTATGCTTAATGTCAGATCACTGTGCAACAAATCATTTTTAATTAATAATTTTATCCGTTCTTATGATCTTGATTTTATGTTTCTGACTGAAACTTGGCTTGACCAGAGTACAGGTAATGCGGTTTTAATAGAAGCAACGCCACCAAACTTCAAATTTGAATCTGAAATCCGAGAAAATAAAAGGGGGGGAGGCATTGCTGCATTATTTAGAGATCGTATTATCTCTCATAGAATTCTCCTTGGAAATTTTCTATCATTTGAGTATATTTCTTTTAAAATAGAACAAAAACAATCTCCTTCTATTCTTATCATTGTCCTGTACAAGCCACCGCAGTCTTGTCACAATTTCTTGGATAATTTCACTGAGTTGCTTTCAGTTGTTTGCACCGATTTTGATAGTTTAGTGATTACAGGTGATTTTAATATTCATGTGGATAATGGCAATGACAAAAATGCAAAAGAGCTGAGTTCTGTACTTGAAACATTTGGTCTCACTCAGCACGTGAGTGGCCCCACCCACAGCAAAGGGCACACTCTAGACCTGCTGGTTACAAAGGGGGTTAATATTTTAAATGTAAATGTGGTTGACGTGGCTCTGTCAGATCACTTCTGTGTATTTTTTGACATGTGTTTTGATAGCAAACAACCATATATATCTGAATCTGCAATTGTCAGACACAGACACATAAATGAAAACACAACCGAACTATTCATGGGAATGATAAACTTTGAGAACACATTGTGTTCTACTGTTGACGAATTGTTTAACTCTGTCACCGCCAATGTTATAAATGTTCTGGACATCATCGCTCCTGTGAAGGTTAAAATGATTACAAATAAGCCAAAGGCCCCCTGGACTAAAATGGACTCAGTCATGGTACAGAAGAGAGAGTGCCGTAGGGCCGAGCGGAAGTGGCGAAAATCCAATCTCCAGGTTGATCATGATATCTTCAAAAATGAGTTGTGCAAGTTTAACAGGGTGCTACGTAGAACAAGAGAAATTTATTTTTCTAAAACCATTGATGGCTGCAATAATAATCTACGACTTATGTTTTCAACAGTTAACGGATTAACAAACCCCCCTGTTCAGCTGCCATTCGAATTTGCTTCAGAATCTAAATGTAATGAGTTTGCACAATTTTTCAATGACAAGGTTCAGAGCATCAAAAACGCCATCACCTCCAAGGCAGAAATAACATTACAACAGCCGGTGAGGCTGTTTGAGCTATCGCACTTTGCACCAACAGATAATGAAACTGTCCAAGATGTTGTCTCTAGCCTTAGTTCCTCCACATGTAGCCTGGATGTACTACCCACTAAATTTTTTAAGTCTGTTTTGAGCAGTCTTTTACCTTTGCTCACACAAATAGTGAACATGTCTTTCTCATCTGGAACATTTCCAATGGCCTTGAAAACGGCAGTCATCAGACCCCTCCTAAAAAAGAGGAGTCTAGATGCCACAGTTCTTAAGAATTATCGCCCCATTTCAAATCTGCCGTTTATGGGAAAAATTCTGGAAAAAGTTGCTTACCAACAACTTACAGAATTCTTAGTAACTAATAGTTCGTTTGATGCGCTCCAGTCCGGCTTTAGAGCCAATCACAGCACTGAGACTGCACTAGTGAAGGTTACAAATGACATCCGACTTAACACCGACACAGGAAAAGTCACAGTTTTAGTAATGTTGGATCTGAGTGCTGCGTTCAACACAGTCGACCACGAGATCCTCCTGCAGAGACTAGAGCACTGGGTGGGTGTCACTGGGACTGCCCTAAGTTGGTTTAGGTCTTACCTAGAAGACAGGAAATACTTGGTTCAGATAGGAAACTGTGTCTCAGATCATATGGCTCTGACCTGCGGAGTGCCACAGGGATCAATTCTGGGGCCTCTTCTGTTCAATATTTACATGCTGCCGTTAGGTCAGTTAATACGCTCCAACAATGTATCCTACCACAATTACGCTGATGACACTCAAATTTATGTCTCACTTACTGCAGGAGA